ACTTCCATGGGGTTCTCTTGCTCTCAGATCTCAGCTTGTGACGAACAGCAAGCTGACACTGCTGTTTGCCATTAGCTGTGCTTTAGCAGCGTTGCACATAGCCCAGGAGTCTGGCTGCAAGAATGCACTCCAACAGCTGTGTGGGCAGCAGAAGTACCTGGGCACACTGGATCACCTGGGTTTAGTTTATTTCTGGAGACCCATGAGAACAGGATTTTGACAAGGGACCATGCTTTACTGCATTTGCCACTCCCTCCTGGGAACAGCTACTCCTGGGTGAATTTAGTGATTGTCACTTCTGTGATACCAAAAGCGTCTGTCTGAGGGAAAGGAAATTTGATTGAATCTTTACACAAGGACCCTAAATACAAGCTCAAGAAAGACACTTACCTTTTGTTTAGCACCATGTTCCCTAGTTTCAAGTCTCTGTGCACAATATTTTTCTGCAAAATATATTCCATTTTAGATCAGTAAATATGAACACAAACATGTTTGATGAGCTCAAGATTGCTCAGTACTCAGAAGACATAAGCATTAAGTAAATATTAAGAGTACACTGATGAGGACAGAAACTAGAAAAACATTAGCAACCACCCTGCCTCCCCCCAGGCTTTCCCTGCAAGGTCTGTTAATTTGATGCGTGTTCCAAGTGAAGCCAGGAGAGCAATACGACCGCACAAAAAACCCACAGATGGCAGCAGTATCTGCACATGGAGATGGATTTAGATTCAAATAGTTATGCGAGTTTCAGCAAATACTGGTGAGGCCACCTGAAGTTTTCAGTCACTTTTGGGATCCACAGCAAAGAACAAAGGCTTGTCAGAACCATACCAGGAATCCTAAGAGTCTGGAGTGTAGGGTCCTGTATCTAATGAGCTGTGGGACACCCCAGAACCTCCAAATCGATAGAGCATGGCACACACTATCAGTAGTAAACTTTCTCCACTCCAATTATTCTATTCTCATGTGCAGGTTAAAAGCCACCTGGTCTATAAACACTCCTTATTCCCATGTGTTGAAGGAAGCTAGTAAGTTTGAGCTTCAGGCTTTCCAGCCTCACTAAGGCCTCTCAGCTGAAAAACGTCTTTACACATGAGCTTATTAGCTCATGGACAAGGCTCTGGTATGAGAAGCTGGTTGTCCCTTTTTATAGGGTACAATTCAGAAAACAGCAGAATCTGTTTTTAGAACAGTAATTTTCAGTTCACTTGGTCTCAAACTTGTTGCAAGCACGGGGTTTTTCATCTTGCAATCAATGTTCCTGTTCTTTATGATCTGTACTGTTCCACAGGAAACACTTTGGAGCATTTCCTGGATTTGACAAGCTGCAAGCCCAGAAAGGTTTTCTGAGGTTAACAGTATTGCTCTTCACCTGATCTGCATTTAATTCAGCTGCCTTCTGCCCAAACAACCAGCACACTCTTCTCCATAAGTCACAGGGGAGAACACAGATGCTCTGCTACAGTTTGCAGCACATGGACTTACCCAGAGCTCAATGTGTGCAAAGCAATGTCACTGGAAGACAGTTTAGACATTCCACAGTCATCACCCTCTTTTTGATTGTATAGGATGAAGTGTTATGAAGCCCAAGATGTTAGTTAGGAGGACAGCTCTCTCTTCTAGCACACTCAGGGATGCACAAAGCCCTTACCTTGTGTAATGCTTCCACCACGCGTACCACATCATAGAATATCACCACTGTCTCCCGCTCGCTCAGCCTCTTCTCTTTAATGACGTAATGCTGCAGGTTGATCAGATCTGCGGTTTTGTCACTGAAATCGTGAGCACAGAGACAGTCTAAAACAAGACAAATCCGCTTCTTCATTTTCCGAACCATCCTGTTGGCTTCCAGGTCTTCTACGATTTCGCACGCTCGGTCCTGCCGTGGAAGAGGGACGCAAAAGGACAGACGTCAGGGAAGTCACTTGGAGAGCTGTATTACTGAGTACAGAGCATCAGATGATGCAGTGGCCATTTAGACAGCTGTTCTGAGACCAACAAAGTACTGATAAGAGTCACACAAGGGACACACCCATCTGGTTTAAGATTAGCTACTACAGGACTAGGGTATAGACAGATCCAATGATAGCAATTTAAAGCCATTACAGTGCAACTTTTATCTGCATGATTCTGTAGCCATACAAGTGTAGATAAAGTATTGCAACTTTAACTTCCATTCTATTTTATAGTTACAGTGATTTAGCTAACTTTCCTTGCTACAGGATTCTGCAGACTTCAGTTAGGTCATAACAGCTAATTGTAACCAGGGGCAGATTTTAAAGTGGTTAAAAGATACGTCCATCTATACCTTCAGTTTTTCTGCCTTGAGTGTAGCAAACTGGATGGGCCAAGAATGAACTTGGCTAGTCCAGGTTTCCAAAACCTAAATAAAATACTGGCATGCATTCAGAAACCAGATGTCATCTTTACTGACAGAAGGCAAGGAAAGAGGTTAGATGCACAAGTGTTTATTAGTTTCTTATGCCTTTAAATCAATGTGAACTGGATAATACAAATACAGTGGGGCAGATCTGCTAGCAACAGTACCAGTCATGGTAGGAAAACAAGAAAAAGCATCAGTGAAGGCAAGGCTTCTAGAATCACAGAATAGTCAGGCTGGAAGGGCCCTCAGGAAATCGCATCTAGCTTTGAATTCTGCAAAGGATGGAGTAGCACTAGAGAAGGAAACAGAAGGTCAACCAAAATGATCACAGGCGTGGAGAAGTCGTCATACTAGAAGAGACTAAAACAACTAGAACTTTTCAGTTTGGAAAGGAGAAGGCTGGAGGAGAGCGAGGGGGGATACAACAAAGGTCAATAAAAAAAAGTCATGAAGGACACGGACAAAGCGAACAGGGAACCGTTGTTCATCAAGTCCCCGAACACTAGAACTAAAGAGCATCTGCTGAAATTAGTAGTTGACAGGTTTTAAACTAACAAGAGAAAGCACTTTTTATGCAAAATGTAGTTAACACGTAGAATTCATTGCCACAGGAAGCTGTAGAAGCAGATAACAGAGCCAGGTTCAAAAAGGAAATAAGCTAATTCATGGCTGGTAGATATACTAAAGGCTTTTGAACAGAACAGTTGGAGATGTTTCTTTACCATCTCTACCCCAATAATGACAGATGCCAAGCAGGGTAATGAATAGGGGAGAGGATCCCTCTAGATCCATCTGGTTCAATGTGTCAAATACCCACTCCTGTTGTTCTTGGAGATGAGATGCTGGGCGAGATGGACCACTGGTCTGACCCAGTGTTGCACTTTTTATGTTCTTACATAATATGCAGTGCAAATTTCCCTTGCTGCCATTTAAGACCACTGCTCCTCATCCTGTCCCCTGCAGCCACAAAGAACAGACTGTCTTCATCTTCTAGATAACAGTCTTCAAATTCCCCCCTCAGTCTCCTCTTCTCCAGGCTAAATAATCCCAGTTCTTACAGCCTTTCCTCACAAACCATGTTTCCCAGGCCTCTTACAAGTTTATTTTAGATATAACAGAAAGGACCTCACTGAAAGGAGGTGCTGACAAACACAAAACACTCAGCAAGTGAACAATTACCTGCATCACAGCTTACAACTCCTATTAGCTTGTCACAGATTCAGTAAATGACTTATCGATTTCAAAGTGTTAACAGCCTTGAAACTGATTCAACTTCAGGGTATTTAATTGCTAAATAGCACATTCACAAATTCATTTTAACATGCTAGAAAAGCAGCTGGTAAGCTGTCTGCATCTCCCAACTCCATGCCAGACTAATTACAGAAACGGGAAAGCAGAGGTTCAGCTCCAGAAGGGCCTTCTGACAATTGGCAGAAACTGCTCTGTGGAAGCAGCACCCGGCAGGGGGCAGTTCCCCCGTCCCCTGCCAGATTCAGGACACGCTCAGGTTACTTCTACTACCCGACACATGTAGGAGGGTCTCTTCAGACCCATGCTCCTGCTCTTGTACTTGAAGCTACCTAATGCTAAGCAGCTTGAGGATAACACCCCAGGGTACTCAAAGGAGCTGGTGAGCATCATCCGTACCAGAGGCTGGGCTATCTTTGAGAACTCCTGGCACTCTGGTGTAGTGCCCGAAGACTGGAAGAAGGCCAATGTGGTGTCCATCTTCAAGAAAGGGAGGAAAGTGGATCCGGCAAATTATAGGCCCATCAGCCTGACCTCTATCCTGGGGAAGGTCTTAGAAAAGTTTATTAAAGAGGCCATCCTTAATGGACTGGCCGACACCAACATCCTGAGGGATAGCCAGCACGGGTTTGTTGCGGGTAGGTCTTGCTTGACCAATCTCATTTCCTTTTACGATCAGGTGACCTATCACCTGGACAAGGGAGAAGAGATTGATGTCATATATCTTGACTTCAAAAAAGCCTTTGATCTGGTATCCCATGATCACCTCTTGGAGAAACTGGCCAATTGTCGCCTTGGGTCCTCCACGATCCGCTGGCTGGGAAATTGGCTCTCTGGTCGGACCCAGAGGGTGGTAACTGACGGAAGTCAATTGTCATGGTGCTCTGTGACCAGTGGGGTCCCTCAAGGCTGTGTCCTTGGACCCATATTGTTCAACATCTTCATTCATGATGTGGACATTGAAGTCAGAAGCGGACTGGCCAAGTTCACCAATGACACCAAACATTGGGGCAAAGCATCCACACCTGAAGACAGGAGGG